GCTCCCGCAGAGGAGCCGCCAGACCAGCGTGGGGTCCCAGACAGCCCCCGGGCCCCCAGGCTGCCCGCGGGAGGAGAGAGCCCCTCTCACAGCAGGTGGAGCCCAGGCGGGGAGCGGGCTGGCGTTGCACAACCCGTCACAAGGAGCGCTCCCCAGCCCCTACGTGTGTCCCTGGCATGTCCCCTTCCGAGGGCAGGGGCCGAACGTCACCCCAGGCACCGCTGGGCAGCTCAGCTCGCACCTTACCCCACCGCAGGGATTCCTCTGCAATCAGCACCGCATTGTTCCGCGGGCTGGGAGCATCCTGCCAAACCTTTGATCCCTCCATTCCTCACCCAAGGGCAGCAGACAAATCAGATGGCTTCTCCTGATAAAGGGAAGGAATTTGTTGGGGTTTTTTTTCAAGGCAATCAGAAGTTCATTACTAGAGTTGTCCAAATTAAAGTTCCAGTTTCATCATCTCCGTTCCCCTCCTGCAGCCCAAATAGTCGTTGGACGGTACATCATTACAATGCTAGTTTAATTGCTAAATTATGTTTCCCTAAATTTGGGCTTGAAATCTGAGTTTGAAACGAAAATCAACTTTGCTTCAACATTTATCTTAGAAGTTGCAATGTTCAGACTTTTCCAATTTATTTCTTTACTAGGTTGGTTTGAGGGGCTTTTTTTTCTGTGAGTTCTTTTTTAAAGAACAATTCGTCATAAAGAAAAATCTTTTTCTTCATTGTCCCTCTTATTCTGATGACAGTGTGAAGACTGAAGTCTCTAGGTTTGACTCTTTGGCAAGAATAGTGGCTAATCAATAGCAAGCCAATGATCCTGACTTGGGTTTGAGCTCTCACAGCAGCACAGCCAGGGCTGGGGCTGGAGCCAGCCATCGATGTCATGGAAGTTTTGCACAGCCAAAAGCAGAACAGGAATCATGCTGAGCACCTCCAGGTCTTCTCAGGGAGGTAGGACCCAAAGAAGAAGTATGGAGAAGGACATGAAAGACAAGTAAATCTATTGATTCAGCAGGTATGCTCTCGGGTGTGGGAAAACAGTTTCTAACTGCACCTTGTCTTATCTAGAGTTGCCTTTTATGACACGTCAGTCTTCTATACAGGGGATTGAAGGCTATGGTGGTTACCTGTGAAACCTGCAGGAGCTGCCAGTAATGTTCTCAACCAGCAAAGTGCAGCACTGGCTGAGATGATTTCATCTGAAATTATCCACTCCTAAACACAGCACTACCAAAAAGTCATGGTCAACTTGGAAGGACTTAAAAGGTGACTGTAGAAGCAAGAAGAGTTGAACTATAAGAAAGACTAAAGGGTTGAAAGTCCTTTAAGCCAGCACAGCAAAAGCTTGTGTGGAGGCTGATTTGTGTCTGGGAAATATCTGATAACAAAGAGACCACAGAAAAGGAAATGATCTCTGCAGCAGACAGGTGGAGTTGGCGAGAGGGGGGCTCAGGAGCCCGGAGCTGGACGCAGTGCCTGGAGCAGAGTCCCTGCCCAGAGGACTGGGCTTCGGGACGAAGGAGCCCGGAGCTGAAACCAGAATTACTGTTCCAAAGAGAAGTGAGCTAAAGTAGCACAGTGCCACGAAGCAAACGTTCCTGAGAAAGGCTATTGAGAGGTCTGGCTGAAGGAACACACTCCTGCTCCAGGCCTGTCGTCTCCCCTGGGCTGGAAGTGGTTGGTGTGTGCTGTTTGGGCGTGGGATGCCAGCCCACAGCCACTTCAGTCACATGTTGTGGACCACACCACTCTGGCTTTGGTGAAGCCAGATGATGTTACACCTTTAAGAGGTGTTAATATCTTACAAGGAATGGGTAAGATTCCTGGTGACCGCATGACTTCCACAAGCTGCTCAACAGAAATGTGGTTATTTTGCTTTCTGGAGCTACTTTTTCCTGCATTTTACTGCACAGCAGTTAGTAGCTGGTTGTTACAGAGGTTAGCAGTCAGATGTAATAGACATTTCTTTTTTGCCACTACATCTTGATTGTTTACATTATATTTTTTGGGAGCTGCTTACAACAAAACCCTCCAAGGGGAATAATTGTAGAACACATTTGACTAAATGACACACGACTGAGCAGAACCTGGAGGAGGTCTACAAGATGTCGTGGCTGTACAGTGTGTGCCCATACACAACAGAACACACTGTTTTTTTCACCAGTGTGTCTGGAGAGTCTTTTTTTGGTTATGCACACGCAGGTCTGTGCAAATCAGCGTTTGGCCCCGGGCGTGTCCCCGGGTACTGCAGTATTTCAGGAGCAGGTTGTTTTGCTGACAGACTTCTTGCAGACTATGACACTTGGTGTTTTGCTGTTGTTTTTGGACACCTGCCAATCACTGTTCACATCTGCAAAATCTGTGTGGTCCCGACTGTCCACCAGACACTGGGATATGCAGACAGGACAACTCGAGTGCAGTTAAGCCTCCCACAAACTTTTCTTTGATATGTGCAAAGCTGCTCTTTGCTAAGCCCTGGTTTGCTTCCTAAAGGGTCGAGACAATTTCTGTGGCACTTTTTCTGCTAGAGGTACTTTACTGCATCTGGTAACACCATGTCCTATTTTTGCAGTATCTCCAAAAACTAGGTAATTTTTTTGATTAGTGAAAACAGGACTGGTGACAGCTCCTCCTTGAATACCACACCTGGGGAGAGGGCCAGATCCTGCACCTCGGTCTCGGGCCCCAGCCGAAGCTGGCAGGCTCTGGGGGCCGGGTGCCAGAGCCCCCCCAGCTCTGCTGCAGGGGCTGTGCCAGCTGCAGCATCTCCAGGCTCGCTCCTGCCCCCGGCAGTGCCCTGCCCCATCTGCTCTTAGCCCGTGGGCACGGGGCAGGCATGGATCTCTGCTGGCTGCCTCACCTGCCAGCACCTCAGCGTGTCCTGCAGGAGATGCCAGCGTCCCTTTTGCCAGCCCAGGCCCCTCCCTTTCCCGAGCACAAGCAGGTGCCCAGTCGCTCAGGAGGCTGCAGGATTTTCCCAGTAACATGCTACAAAGATGCTACAGGTGCCAACCTTCCTAATGTGCTTTTTAACCTTTTTTCCCTCACTATCTCTGATCCTCCTTGTGCTCCTGGACTGGTTTTCCCTGAGAGAGGTCTGTCTGTTCCTCTCTTCCCCTAAGCTCTGCTGGGAGCAGATGATATACAGGCCCCCTTCTGCAGTGAGTTTTTGGTATGGTTTGGGCACAGCGAGGCATCCAGCATCACGGACATTTGCTTTGCCCTTGTGCTGACTGAGAACTTTGCCCCAGCACAAGGAGATTTTCACCCCTGTGAAACACAAATACAAAGAATTCTGTGAGCATTGCAAACACTGCTGTGCACAGAGGACACGGGAGCTGCCTGTGCTAGCAGGATTAGCCTGCAGACAATGCCTGATAGATCTTAGTGCTTTCATGGGCACCTTGCTTCATCCAGAGGGCAGGGGCAGAACAGGAAAAGCATTACCCCCCGTGCTGCCTCCCTGGGGGAGTCATGGAAGTTTATCCCTGGGTTTTGTCAGTCCCAACTTTCCTAAAATAGTCAGCAGTGTGTGCCTGTGAACATCCCTCCACTAAAATGAAGAGGAATCCCCACCAGTGCAGTTCTGACTGCATCTCCATGTAACTCCTAGCCTTGATTGGGTACAGTTGGGCAGCAAAGAGGTGGAAAAGTCTCTCCTGCTTCTTGAGCCATCCACCAACTTCTAGAACATCTCATTCAATACAGAAAGAAGGAATATCAGTGTGAGTGGGTTTAAAACTTACTCCAAGGGTACCGGAGTGCTGGCATGGTCCAGACAGAGAATCTGTACCTTCTATACTGCAGCTTCCTTGTCTACACGTGGAAAACATGTCCTGACCCAAAACAAGAGTGTATCAGAGAGCAGACAGCTGCCCAGCTACAGCACCTCCGGCAGGTGGTCCACCAAGCAGAGAAGAGGCTGAGCAAGAGGCTCAGTGGCCCTGGGTTACCTCCTGCAAACATTTCTTGCTAGGTCTGCTTGCTGCTTCCCCATCATCCACATGCCTGGCTGAGTGCACTCCAGTGAGCAGCAGGTCTGTTCATCCTTCTTAAAATGCCCAAGTGCTGCTGCTGCTGCTGCTGCTGCTCTCCCATTTCCCCTCTCTGACAGCTGGTCACAAAGCCCACAAGGGGACCTACAATTGTGGGACTGCCAGAAACTACAGGACGCAGAAAATCAGGGGACATCAGGAAACACAAAGGAGGAAGCAAACTTTCTACTTATAGGACCAGAAGTTTAGAAGATGAAGGGTGTCTTCTCTGGGAGGGTACAGACTGGCCTCGCTGGGCCGTGACGTGCTGCACGACTCCACAGCACTCTGGGGCCCCTCTGCATGTCCAGCGGCGTGAAGGAACGAGTCCCCTGCCACCAATCCCAGCAGCACAGCTCTGGAGGTCACCCGGCAGCAAGGGCTTCCTGGGGGACACCACGGCCAGCCCTTGGGGCAGGGTGCCCCGGGAAGCAGGAGGGGCTCGCTGCCGAGGATGCTGCGGCCGCAGCCAGGGCCAGGCGGGGGCTGGGAGGTGCCCAGGGGCTAAACCTGCCAGGAGGCTGCAGAAGTGCCCCGGGTGGCTCCCATTGGCTGGGCCCCTGTCCCAGCCCGGGGCTCTGCTGCTATATCTAGGGGCAGTGCAGGGCCCGGGGAGGACAGGCACCCTGCTCTGCTGGGACTGCAGATGGGCCTGAAGATGTTCCCGGACCCGAAGGTGTTGCTGGTGCTCGCTGCCCTCCTGCTCCACGCTGCCCTGGGCTTCCCCATTCAGGTGAGAGCAGTTCCCTGCAGCCCTGCCTGCTGCCTGCCCTGCAGTGACCCCTGGAGACTCCCTTTGATCAGCTCCCGCAGGAAAAAAGTTAACCATTTAATAATGTCTAAAGCAAATCTAATTGTGTCGTTCCTCCCTTTGGCCTGACTCGTTTTGGAGCTATGGAAGAATAATACCTTCTACCTGTTGGTTTTGCAGGAGGACTACGGAAACAGCACAGCAAGTAAGTAGGATTTATCCTGTATTTTAAAGGCAACTGTTAGTTTTTGGCCGTGTCTGGCCCGCTGCTGGTGTGTGAGGGACTTGGCTCCAGAGCACGTGAAAACACTGACTCCCGGGCTGTTTGAATAAGGCTGTGCTCCCTGGTTTGGTACCAGGCTGAGTGCAGATGTGTTTTCACACAGATGTGCTTTACACATGCTTTTGGGCTATGGATTGTTGGGGTAATTGAGATGTGCTTTTAGAGTCCTGAAAAGGAAATGTAAATAAGACATTTTGACACCTATCCATCAACTTGGGTGTTAGAAAAAGACGGCTGCTCATTTGCCTCCTTGGTGCAGCAGTAGGAGAAGGGGATGTCAGGCGTCAGAGAAAGCTTCGCTTTGTGCTGGGGTAGGAAACAAATAGTAGAGGCTTAGCTGAGCAGCTTTTGTCTGCTCACAGGAGAGGAGGAGGTGACTGCAGATCTCCAGAGAAGGTGAGTGGAGATTCATCTGTAGGGAGACTTTAGCTACGGCAAGAATCTGCCAGGTCTGGGGTGATGTGTTGCGAGAGGAAGAGACCTTGGAAAAACTTGTTTTACTTAGAACAAATAGGTGGCTAATGAGAACTGACCAGTTATTCTTTTGAGCTATCATTTATGGCACAAAAGCAAAGGGAGGTTGTAAAATGGCTGCTCAGAATATTTGGAGCCGACCACGAGACACGCTCGCTCGAGTTCCAACTAGCCAGTAGCTGGGACTCCAAGTCACAGGGTTACTGGGACAAACACATACAAGCAGTTTTAATTTACCATCCTTACTGCTTTTTGTGCCTTTTGAGAGATCTTCCAGTGTTTCCAGTGCAGGGGAAACGTGAGCTGTATCATTCTGAAAGCTGTTTGGCACCAGATGTTCATTTGATCAAGGACAAGGCAGATGCCTTCTGTGATGTCTCATTTGGGTTTTAGAAAGGGGTTGCAGGCTTTATGTGCATAGGAATCTGGAGCTGGATTTACACTGACTTGGACTAGTCAATTAATCTAGTGCCTCTTGAGTGCATGAATTCTGAATCCAGATGGCCCATCTCAAAAATGTGCTGCCCTGAAGAATTTTTTTAGACTCCATGGATCTCTCTGATGCAGCTGGTGGGAACTGACTGAACTTTTCTGTAATGAACCACCATCAGCACAGCACACGGCCATTGCCACGCAACTACAGTAACAGTCTGACAAGACAGACTGAAGCCTTTTTGGCCCAATAAAAGCAATTCTGTGGCAGATTCTAAATAGATTCTGAACAGGGGGAAGTCTCCTCAGTACACTTGGGCAATGACCACTGTGAAAAGGGAAAGGTGCTGCAAGGTGTGACAGAGCTTAGCGTGCCTCCTGTTGAAAAAACCACCATTGAAAAGACAAGGAACATGGATAGGCTTAGACAGATCTATGTGCATTATTGTTCTCTCTGTCAGTGTTGGACAGGGGAAAGAAAAAAAAAGGCTTTTTATTTTGACTAGGAAAAGTGTGATTATTGGCAAGCTGGACAAGATTGCCAGAAAGGCTTGTGGCACATGCATCATACTTCAGAACAGGTCAAACAAACTGTGTTCAGGAATAACACAGATAAAACTGTTTCTGCCTTAGGGAAAGTGGACAAACTGGGTGACCTCTGGAGGTCCTTGCCTCTTCTGAACTCCTATGGTATTGCAGCCATGAAGTTTCTACTCAGAGGTTTATATATCAGATCAGGTTTTTCACTCCTGTGTTTGTATCTAGAAGGTAATGCCTGGCAGAAATTGAAAGACCTCATGCTAGGAAGAGCCCTTAGATTTAATTAAATCTCTGTGCACCCTGGCCTCCTCCCAGCAAAGGGACCTGCTAAAGGTGCTCCCGTGGCTGAGGAGACCTGTGCTATTAAACCCTGCAAACTTGCATTCAGTATCTAATTTGCTCCTTTTGCTTGTCTCTTTCTTCCTTGCTTTTTGCAGCTACAGATCCTACTGAGGTAGCAACAGATCCTACTGAGGTAGCTACAGATCCTACTGAGGTAGCAACAGAACCTACTGAGGTAGCAACAGAACCTACTGAGGTAGCTACAGATCCTACTGAGGTAAGGACAGCTAAATCTGCTCTTCTGATCACTCTGGGGTTCAGCATTGTGGGAAGTGAGGTCGAGGCTTATGTCCTCCACCCGATCTCCACCTGTGCAGGAAAGTCTGCTCCAACCAACAGTGTAACAGAGTGAGCAGTCTCCATCCCCATCCCACTATTGCTCCATCATGCCCAAGCACAGCTCATGTCCCAGGAAGCTTTTGCCTCCTCTGGGGTGACTGAGAAAACTCAAACTCGTTTTGTATTAACACGAGGCAAGGGCAGCATGGCAATCTGTTCTGCTACACACATGGCCCCCCAGCTGCTGCCAGCCTGGGCAGCTTTGGTCCCTTGCACGTTATATTATTTAATATTTGTTATAATATAAAGTGTGTTTCAACATCAGGAAAAAATTCTTTGCTTTGAGGGTGCCCAATCCCTGGAGCAGGCTGCCAGAGAGTCTGTGGAATCTCCTTCTCTGGAGAGACTCCAGAGGAATGCCTGGACACCATCCTGGGCACCCTGCTGGGGGTGACCTGCTGGAGCAGGGGGCTGGACGAGGTGATCTCTGGAGGTCCCTCCCAACCTCCACCACTCTGGGTGATTCTGTGCTAATACTAATGCATCGTTCTTGCAGGTGACGACACCAGAGGACATATTCGGTATGTATTACTCCAAATAATTCTAAGTATTTGATAGGATATTAGATACATTAGATAGATGGTTAGCTACCCAGTTAGTCCAGGAGATCACACACAAATTAAGGAAGAAATTTTAAATGAATGCACACATTATAATATTTCATGCAAAGCAGAGTCTCTTGGTTATGTCCCACAGCTCTGACTTGCTAAAAACCTCAGCTGTTACTTTTGCCAAAAATAGCTCTGCTTAGATAATGTCACTTCCAAAGGCTGCAGAAAGCTCAGAGGCCATGTCCTTGTGCCTTTTACTGGTGTCATGCCTTAGCACATGGCACTCTCAGTTGGCTGACTCTGCTTGTGAGACTTAGGAGCCCCTGATGCTGGGCTCAGGACCCATGGAATAGGAGTGCAGTTCTGAGTTCACTGGTTTCAAGGGTCTTTCAAGAGGTCAGCATGTCTGGCAGCAAGCAGCCGGACTGCTCTCCATCCGTTTGTTACTCCTGGTGTCTTCTGTGGGGTGTTGGGTGTGAGCTGCACATGCAGCTGAAGAATGGTGCTGCCTGAGAACACAGACAGCAACCAGCTGACACTTGAGTGGGTCAGTGCAGCCTTACGAGAGCAAACCTCCATGCCTTAAAACGTGATGGATGGGAGGGAAGGGAGGGAGGGAAAGATGGAAGGAGGGTGGTTCTTGGGCCTGTATTAATGCCAAGATAACCACAGCTGGGAGGTTCACACGACTGTGTCACTAAGCAAGTATTGACATGATTGAAGACCATGCCAGTCCCTAAATAGGCTCTGTAAGACCTAAGCGAGCTCCTGGAAACTAGCCAGGCTAGAAACCAGGATTCCTAGAAACCAGGATGCCTATTTTCCCTGGGAATGAGAAAGTGATCCTCTTGTATTTCTGCACAGACTCTCCATCACCTACAGAGACTGACTCCGAGGACGAAGTTATTTTTAACAGAATTCTGGAAGCTAACAAAGGTAATGCCATCAAAGCCCTGCTTCTCAGGGGTCTTTCTTTGTTGGTTCATGAGGGTGATGTGGAAGGTACAGTGTCTAACCATGATCTGTACAAAGATGTTTCCCATCTTACACCCCAGCATGTGAGAGATGCCCAGAGACAGGCTGCTGGGACTTCTGGGTGGTCTGCTGAAGCCCCACAGCATCTCACATCTATAGGGTCAGAACTGAAGGTGTGGAGGCAACTTTCCAAGCAGCTCTAGCTCTCAACACTGTTGTCATTCTTTGGACGTAAAAAGGGAACTTGGATATTTGGATCCTTTGTGATTTAAGTGCCATTCTCATGAATGCAAGCATTGCTGCACCCCTGTTCTATCAGCTGCACTTTCTTATGTGTGCCCTTCAGCAGTCATTCAAGAAGCTTTACTACTGTGTAAAAATGGACACCAAATATTCCTACAGTTTTCTCTAGACACCACTCCTCAGCTTGCTTGCTGCTTTGCTTATTGGCACCTTCTGCCTTTGCCCAGCACCCTTCCTGGGCAGATATTTGAGTCATTCAGTGTCACATGAAGGGTGATGAAATAGTACCAAGGTACAGCATCCTTCTCACTACTGCAGCTGCTCTCTGTCATACCCTGTCTTGCCTCAACCCATTCCAACAGAGCTGCAGCTTCCCACCCCTCCTCTTGGCTAAGGGCAGCAGCAAAGGGGGGAAGCAGGTCATGTCCATCTAGCCCAAGAGTCCATGGCTCAAGCTAGCCAGGAGCGGACGCAGAGGCAAAAACAGAAGAGGAGGACGAGTAGAGAGTGACCCTTCTCCAGGTTTGCTTAGCAGGTGTCCAGCTGCCCCTGGCTCAGCTGTTTCCACCCTTTCTCCCCACAGGCAGCTCTCAGTACCTGCAGGAAGGTGACATTGTCCCCCAGAGGCGTCGCAGTGCCATCAACTGCCGCCACTGCAACTGGCCCCCCTCCGGCGACGGGATCGTCCGCGTCCCCTACGTCCTGGATCCTGCCTACGGTGGGTCTGGATGGCAGCTGGGGCTTCAGTGGCTTTTGCTGAGGAACTTCAGGTGGACAGCGATTTCTAGTGGCCACACAAACAGTCAGATAAATCAGCTCTAAGGATTTACTCGTGCTGTGCAAGCACAAATGAATTGTCAATGATAAAGATCTAAATAGGAAAAAGAAAATAGATCCAATTGCCTTGAGAAGTTTGCAGCACAAATGTTTTGGTCTGACCAGCCCTCTGATGGTAGCTGCCAGAACAGCTGCCTTCATAAGGCTTTATAAGCTGCCTGTGTAAGGCTCATGCCTATTGCAGGGTGGTGTCAACAGCCTGCTTTTCATCAGCAAAACAGCTTCCCATAGCTGTCTCCAAGTGTCCCACCAGGAGATACATCAACAGTCACCAGTGTAATTTAAAACAAGCAGCTGAGGAAGAAAGGCTCCCACCCGAGTCCATTTGGACCAATAGCTGATAAAGCAGATCTTGGGTCAGGCGATTAAAATCTGAAATGAAATTAATTAATGAGCAAAAAGCAAGAAAAAGAAAGGCTACAATTTCTGGCCCTCATTTACCCTCTTTTTGCACACGTGAGATTTTTGTGGCACCTGCCATTGTCCCTGTGTGACCCTCATGCCAATTAACCCTTTCTCTTCCAGAGGAGAGCCATGTGAAGGGGATTCTTGATGCCATGGGAGAATTTGAAGCACTGACTTGCATTAATTTTGTGAAGCGCAAGAATGAACGTGACTACCTCAACATTAAATCTGCTGACGGGTGAGTGGAATGAAAAATTAACAAGTTATTTCTGTACTGTCTTTCAGTTCTTCACTACAGTCATTCTGTGTGACCTTAGAGAGGAAGGAGGAAGGGGTTTAGAGAAGAAATTTAATGTTTTATCCCAGTGCCAAGGTATCCTCTGTGCATACCTTGTGAGTGCAAGGACTCGGCAGTCCCACCAGGGACCCACCAAGACACTGGAGTGATGCAGATGGTGGGAGAGTACCACTAAGGTGGAAATGAAACCTGAGCTCCTGTTTCCTGCGTGGTGTAACGCACACTTTAGCACAACATCTAACAGATTACTGTAGGGCTTATCTGCATATCTCAGATTCGGCAATTTCAGTTATGAAATCAACAGTTCTCTGAATCACACAGTTGGCTGTCAGGGTCAGAATTGGAGCCTCTGTGCCAAGAAAAGTGTTCCAGGAAGCTTTAGCATAGATCAGACTATTTGTCCTTTCTGTGCCATGGTCAGTTTTGCCCTTCTGGGTACTGGAGCAGACAGGAAGGAATCCTTCTGCTCCCACAAGGCGTGTGAAGCGAGGAACTCTTAGCATCCCTTTGCCTGCCTGACAATCACAATCCCTAAGTCTCCTGTTGGTGTTCAATGCCTCTCTCAGCTGCTGGTCCAACTATGGGAAAGTAGGAGGTGGACAGACTGTCTCTGTGATGAAAGGAGGCTGCATGTGGAAAGGAATAATTCAACATGAACTGGACCATGCTCTGGGCTTCCTGCATGAACATTCTCGAAGTGACAGGGATAAATATGTAAGGATCATGTGGGAGTACATCAGTCCAGGTGGGTACCTCTCAACTGCTCAGTGTAGAAAGTGGTGTGGATACATCCCACTGTTCCCAGCTCTTCCTTATGCTCTGAAGGGTGTAGGTAGGAAGCATGCTCTAAGCACAATATCATGTCTTACAGCTGACAGACCAGACTTCAAAAAATTTGAAAACTCCAGAAACCTGGGTCTTCCATACGACTACTCCTCAGTGATGCACTATGGCCCGTAAGTAGCAGCATGGCATTGCTTTTGTTGGAACTCACAGCTTACATGGGAATTAGTTTCTATAATAACTCTGTCATAACTACCAGTATCCCCATTTCCCCTGCTGAGAAAAGCAGTGGGAGTCAGTTCAGACAAGCCACTTCCTAAGGTTAATTCATTATCCTTGAGTTTTCCACTAAGGAGCCATTCACAGCTGAGCTTGGGAGCAAAGGAGGGCACCTTGGGATTGACTGCTTACTGCTGGACACCTTAATTAAACCTTTCTTACCAGCACTGTTAGTCACAACAACTCGTGTGCAATTCCTGTTCTCCCTCCAAAGCATGCCATTGAATCCTGAAAGAAGTAATTCTACTTAAAGAATGTAATTTGTCATGGTTTTTTTTTTCCAGATACACATTCTCTAACACCACAGGGAAACCAACTATTGTACCAATCCCTGATGAATCCATACACATTGGCCAGAGGCAGGGACTGAGCAACTTGGACGTGGCCAAAATCAACAAACTTTACAACTGCAGTGAGTACCTCAGAGCCCTCCCTTCACCTGCTGCCCAGCTCCTTCACAGAGGTGGACTCCGGGAAGCTGGAGGCACGTTGTGCTGGCTGGGGAGGTGCCCTCTGCTCCCCAGGGGAGGACGCCCGGGCGCTGCCCTGCCCCGCGCCTCGCCCCGCTCCTCTGGCCTCCTGCAGCTCAGGAGGCGACTCCAGGCCCCACGGAGAGCCAGGCATCTCTGTGCCTGCGTGCAGGTTGTGCTTAAGACCTGAGCCAGACCCAGAGAGCTGTAGGCTCCTCTGAACCAGAGCAGTTCCACGATGCTTTGTCTAGTTCTCCAACGCCTCAGGTGTCGTTCCAGATCTGTGTGCAGTTTTAACTCTTCGGTTTTAACCTTGGCTAGAATAAATTCTCCCCTACACCCAGTCATTTGCTTAGTCAAAGGGAAAAAACAAGATGAATAAAGTATTACCCCTTGCACAGATGAGAGCCCAAGTCGTCTCCTAAGCTTTGAACTGAAGCATTGCAGAGACATCAAACTCGTGCTTGATTCTTCTAATATCACTTGACTTGTGCATCTGGGTGAAAAACAACATCCTCTATTGCAGTGACTTGAAACCTTTCACTCTTCCAGAGGTGCAGAAAGAGCTCCCTTGCTAAACGACAAAGCTAATCAGTAAAAGCTAATGTTTTTTCCAAGCACTACTTCACTTGCCGTTGTGAGGCAGGTACTTAGGCATTATGTGGAAATTAGGACACCAAGATTCTTCATTTTAATCAAGATATAGCAGCACTCTGAACCGAGTGCTGGCAGATGAGAAAATCGAGCGCAGCCCATTCTGAAGAGGTTGTAAGTGTCAAGGAGTGGGAGCTCCTGCAGGCCTGGTGCTGCAGCAGAGCTCGTTTCTCCCTCAGGTCGCTGCAGCACTATTCTGGACGCGGCGTCTGGGTCCCTGAGATCTGCCAACCACCCCAGAAATTACTCAGATAACACCAACTGTGTCTGGCTCATCCGAACCCGATCCAGAAAGGTAACCACAGGCTAACAGTGGCCCTGTAATATGCCTGAACTTTCTTCTTCCTGTGTTTAAGCGTTTTGCACTTTGTCTGCCTGCCTGTTGCCAGGTAAGATCTTTTCCATGGGAGAGATTTCAGACCAGTCCCTACTCCTTCGTGTCCATAAGCCAGGCGTGGGCAAAGGCAACTGCAGAGCTGTGGTCTTCAGAAACCTCCCTGCGCTGGGCTGCAGGTTTCCAAAATCAAGCCAAGGCAGCCTGAGCATGGCAGCATTCAGTCACAGGCCCAGGAGATCTGACCCCTGCAGCTCCAGGGGATGAGAGGCACAGCTGGGCAAGCAGCTCCAGTCCAGGCTGGGCTGCAGCTTAGACTGTCTGTTGTAAAGGACACTCTGTGGAAGAAGCCACGTCCACGTGCATTAACAGCTGGTTTTCTCTTCCCTCCCAGGTTTCCCTGCACTTTCAAGCCTTTGAGCTGCAGAAAACCAGAGGCTGTCAGGGTGATTATATTAAAGTTTATGATGGATCTAGCAAGTCTTCTGCACTTCTAATGGACAAGACCTGTGGATCAAAGATACCCAGTGACATAGTTGCTTCTGGTAATCATATCCTCGTAGAGTTTGTCACAGATGGTGCTGATACAGCTTCTGGTTTCAAAGCCACCTTTACTTCTGGTAGGTCTGAGAACAAGGAGAATGGCAAAGCAAAACAATCTGTGTCAAGTCAGTATGTTGCTCCTCTGAAAAAGATGCAGTTTTTAATGTCAGAGTTCAGAGGGGGAGACAGATCTTTGGTGAACCAGGTCACTCGGCTCCATGGCAATATTTCTATGGTCAGGATCCCTGGGTTGTAACCACCTAAAATACATTCTCTTCAGTGCCATTTAAGAGCCAAGGCCACAACTATACAATTAAGCTACCACAGGCTTCCAAGTTGGCGTGTATCAGCTGGAATAAAGAAATGCCCATGTGCATATCTGTAGCCTACAGCAGCTGTACAGGAGTGCAGCTTGCCTCCATTAGTATAAAAGAGAGCTCAGCTACGTTATAGGATCTTGCATTTGCCACAAGACAAGAGCAAGGAGGCACAGAGTTTGGATGAATCCTCTAAAATGCAGTAACCTAACTGTGTGCCCAAATCAAACCAGCAGTTTCGCATTGTCTCTGTGTAGTATCTACTTCTGTCCCCTGTAGCTATGGAAGGAAAGAAAAGTCAGAAAGCTCCCCCTGACAGTTCAATGTGTCAACAACTACAAAATCCTCGTTATCAGATAGAATGTGGTTTAATGTTTACATATTTTAGAGATGCTAGAGTTTGCTGAGAGAGCTCTGAAAGCTAAGTGTTCTCTCATTTCACTTACAGTGAGGACCCAAAGAAAACCCAGCAGCCGCAACTGACTTAGAGAAGAACCACCTATTCTGTGAATATTGAAATTTTGGGTTTCCTACTTTGCTCCTATCCTGGCTTGGATCAATATGAAATTTAATTCTATTAAGAATCGAAGTTTCCTGAGAAACTTTATTTCCCAAGCCAAAGAAATGTGTGAATTCTGAATTCTATACATCCGGCGTGCTCCTCCTTCCGTCTGCACTGTTAAGTTATTGCCTCTTTCTATTTAACAATTGAATAAAAAGCTTCATAAAAAACTCCAAACTTTCCATTTCTGTTTTCCAGCAGTCCCTTCCGGCCATGCACACGACCAGTGTGGTCTCACATCTTAGCCCCCCTCCTTCAGCCTCAGGGCTATGTCTCTCTTACATATACCACTGACATCATACGTTTAGATAGCTGGCTGAAGAGTTTATAAAGTTTGGAGGTGGTCTCGTTTTATGTTCTTCACAGCCTTAAGGTCTTAGATACAGACCCTAGAGGAAAACATTTGATAGTTTTGATTCCTGAGCCCCTACAAAAAACAAAATGGAGGAAATAATACTGCAAAGCCAGAATCTGCAGGTGGATCTGTGAGGGCCAATGGCCTAGCCAGTGGTTTGTTTTTTGGAGACAAATGAAGGTTTTCCACGGGGTAGTGAAAAGGCAGTTTCAGGGTGATTTAGGTTCTTGGGCTTGAAGGAAGGATAGTGATTTCAGCAGATGAGCTTTGTAAAACGAGCTCTGAAATACTGTTGGCAATGACTGAGAATGTAATAAAGCTGTGATCATTCGTGTATTGCTAAAATAATTCAGAAGTTTTCTTTTTAAGGGAACTTAATCTCTGTTAAGAAAGGGAGAGCAGCATCATAAATCACAGCTGGCATTGTCCCAGACCCACGTCCACGCAGTTCCATACGGAAACCTTTGTATGTGCAGAGCCTCCTGGGGACGGGGCAGAACATCTCCTTTAGGACACCGGCTCTTCCCCCAGACCACGTCCACAGCAATCCAGCCAGGCCAGTCCTCGTGGAGAGATCCTTAACAGGAGTAGGAAGATTGGCAGGAATGAAGCAGGGATGGGAACGTGCACGGGTGAGAGCGTGCTGGCAGAAGCCGCGGAACAGGGGCTACCAGACCAGCCTGTCCTGATAACAGGGGACACCATTCCCACGCCGCTGCTCCGTGACACCGCGCCCGGAGGATCCCCGAGGGATGCCTCCTTTATGGCATCACCACGGGGAGATGCTGCACTCAGGTGCCAGCAAGCCTGCAGCTGTTAAACGTGCTGTTCCTTTCTCCTGTCAGCCCCGCAGGAACACACACGGGTCCTTCCAAGGCGACAGGCGGGCTGCTCCTGCTGGAGGCTTGTGCTGGGGAGGCACAGGGCTGCAATTCTCAGGCTTATTTGAGCAGTGGTTCCTCCCTCCCTCACGGTCTGAACTCTTCTTCACTAGGGTCTGTGCAGACAATTACATGAGGGACAAATAAAATGGCACAATTAAACTGTCACCTTGAGCCCCAGGCCCCCCTCTCCCCAGCTGCAGCTGGGCCAAGCCCTCTCCGCAACAGCAGTGGGGCAACATCAGCAGCACTGTTGGTAATTTTTCTTTCCATGTCCATTCCATCGTTTAAGTTAATGTCTTCTCTAGATGAGGAGGCTTTTTTCTTCAGGCAGCTAGTTTCTGTGGACAGTGTGACCGTATTGAAAGCCAGGCTCTCGGCACCAGCTGCCACCTGGGTTAAGTCACGGTGCCTGAAGGGGAAGACTGAAATGCTGCTTTGTGGAAATGTAGCACACTGCTCTGTACCTTAGCATCACACACAGACTGCCTCTATAAAAAGAAATAACTTCTGTATTATGGATCAAACGCTAACCTTTTGATAAACCTTGTAAACCTAGCTGAACTAGAAAAGAACAAATGCTATTCTCAGTCTGACTGCCCAGGGGATAAAGAAGTCCTGTAAACAGCGCTGGTACAGAGCACTAAATAAAAAGAGAGCGAGAACAATCTGGATTTCACAGCAAAAATGAAAATCAGTTTTACATACATAATTATATTTTTATTTTAGGTCATACTCCACTTTCTCTGTAATGTTCTCCTGGAGTTTTTCTCTTTGGCACACACTGATGCATGCACTGGCGACACCTCTGCAAGATCCTCAGCTTGGTCATCCGGGGGAAGTTCTTCTGTTGGCTCATAGGCTTCCTGTGAAGGAAAATCTCTTTGTAAGTATCTTTTGTGTTATTATGTGAAGAATAACTTTTTTTTTTCCTTTATAGAAAGGTGGTAACTTCTAGTCTGCTTTGCCACAACTTTGAATGAAAGGAAGGAAGCGCCATGCATGAAGACAGGCACAACGTTCCCCGTAGGGTTGGTTCCACCACGCCCAGCCACCCGCAGCGACCGGTGCCGTCCTCCAGCAGCAGAGCCTGGGGGAACAGCCACAGCCCAATGACCTCGCTTTCCATCTCCTGCGAGGACTTCCAGCGAGGCACCGGGGAGTGAGACCTGGCAGCGGAAGGAAAACATTTTTATTTGGCACTGACGGGCAAAATAAACGCTGCCTGCATTTGTCTGGTTTAGAGCTCTTGGGAAAGTGGCGAAGCCGGTAGCAGGAGGAACGCTCTTCGCGGGTGGCTCTGGAAAAGCACTGTTTATGTTGAGGACCGTGTCTGGGTATGGTTGGAGACTCCCCCAGCTCCCCCCCTCGGCCCGGCCAGCTGTGAGGGCGTGGGGCGG